AGAGAGAAAGAGAGAGAGAGCATGGATAGAAAAGGAGAGATAGAGAGGTCAATGGGGAGATTAACGACCCAACATAAACGTCAGACAAACATAGACACTGCTGGCTATAAAACTACATCAATTTGTTGTTACAGTGGCCTCTAATGAAAAGGGGCCAGGCTTTCTGTCTGTGTGTGTGAGAGAGAGGGAGAAAGAGGGGAAGAAAGAGGACATGCAAGAGTGAGGGAGACAGAAAGAGGGAAGTGGACTGTCTTGATGCGATAAATCTTGGTGTGTGTGCTAAGACAATCTGTTGAGTGTGGAAGAGGGGAAATGAGGGACGGCAGGAGAGAGTAGAAGGGACGGAGAGGTGCTAAATGTGAGGAAAAGTGGGAAAAAAAGACACTAATGGCAAGATTTTTCCAATTTTGACTCACACCGCAAACGTAAATACACCGATTTTAAGTGTCAATATCACAAAATTATCAAAATAATGTTTAAAATGTATGACCTATTTTTATATTAATACATTAATCCAACTACAACATCCTCAAGGTAATTACAATGACCTAAAAAGTGCTACTAACATTCCCCCTGTCACCGTTTCTATGACAATATTTTCTTTTAAAATTAAATGCCAACACAAATCACATCCCATAAATGCAACATAATATAGGTGGAGTGTAAAAAATAAATATCCAAAATAATAAGAATTGTGACTGACCTCATCAAGTGAAATTATCCAACCCACAAAGAAGTAGAATCAAACAAAAATGGATTTGTACCATCAATATTCCCATCCTGAAAGATCCATACAAATGTTCCCAAATGAAGCAGATGTCGAAAATCATCAGACTGTCCTTCCATGTGTGATTAAACTAAGGGGGAAAAAAATCTAACTGGAGTTGAAGGATGGTTACCACCTTCAAAAACACAAGTTATCGTTGGCTGAGTGAGCGAGAATTGCCTGTAGGGGTAAGAGCGAAAGGGAGAGTGTGCATGTGTGTGTGTAAGGAGTGAGAGGAAGAGAGAGGAGATGAGGGGCCAGCAGAGAGAAAAACAGAGAGGGGGATGGGTGAAGGAGGGCGGTGGAGGGGGGGCAGTGAGGAATGTAAATGGGGTGGGAATCTGAGTGTGTGTGTGTGTGTGTGTGTGTGTACACTCACCGCGGGGTGGTCTTGGGAGAAGCTCTTATGGAGAAGCCCTGAGCTCCGACGCCGCTGCTGCCGTCTCCCACCTCCTGATCTACACACACACACACACACAAAAAAATCAATTGTACATCTAAGACCAAGTCCGCACTTAGCCGGCTGAAGTTGAAAACGCTTTATGTGTGAAAACAACGCGCATCCACAGCAGCATTTTCAGCCCATTTTTGTGAAGATCTCTTGCTCATAAACAGGAAAACAGCTAAATCTCTTCTTCGTTCTATTTTGGTGGGCAAACAACAAAACTGTGCATCTCAGCCAACATCTGGTAAGGGGTGAGACAAACAGTCTGGTTATTGCTGAGTCTGTACTGGTTAAACCACTGCTCTGTACCTTCCTACTCTCTGGGATCACCTATACTGTGTTTTAATATCATGTTTTTATTGTTCTCATATTTACGCTACATATTTCTCAAAAACATGGCTAAATACAATAGATTGTCGATAGCACTACTAGTCCCGAACCCCTCAAATGTCTATTTGGATTTCTTTTATTGGAGTTCAAGCCTAATTAACATAAAATAACAAGTCATTTCGCTATGTATGATCACTTTTACTGTACTTTTATTTGGCAAACGAGAGGAATATATATATATTTGTTCATGTAGGATTTATAAAGGATAAAATTGGTTGATTTGGCAGTAAATCGTATTATTAGTTTTACACAGCAGACCCTAAACAAGGAGAAAGTAAAGACAATGTCACACTAACACAAGGGTTAACTTTAAAGCTGCAGTAGATAACGTTTATAAAAAATAACTTTTCGTCATAGTTGCTGAAAATTTCACTATATCCTGACAGTAGTACATGAGACACAAGGCAGAGGACTTTTCCTAGTGCTCCCTGGCATATTAAAGAATCCACTGTGTGTGAAGATAAAACAACCAATCAGTCCCAAGAAAGACAGTTAATTGTTTAGTCTCACTCCCAAGTCATCAAATATCAAGGCTTTTGGTCCCTGGGAATGAGACTGAAAAACCAACCGTCTTTCTCATGTCTTATATACAACTGTCAGTATATAGTGAAAGGTTCAGCAAATATGACGAGATTTATTTTCATAAAAGTGACCTACTGCAGCTTTAATGTCACTCAGCTTATACCCAGGCTTACAGTACATTATTTTCCAAAAGCTCAGTTGTCCTCCACACTAAAATACATTGCTATTGTTCTCAAAATGTATCCACTCTGCAGTTTGTTTTTTAAAAGCTCAGTTTTTGGGTGAGAATAAAAAATAAATTACACCGACAGAGTGCCAAAACAATGAGAAAATGCACATTTTCCTATTTAGTCGGCGTAGTGCAGACGACATATTGTAATACTTGTGGATCTGCAGCCTATGAAACTTTGTCTTTCTTCCTTTATATCTCTTTCATAAGCCTTCATTCAAACTGCATGTGCATTTGCCTCTTTTCCTCTACCTTCTGTGAGAGTCTCTACCTCCTCCCTCTGGGCCCCTGGCCAGACGCTTCTTTTCATTTTCCTCAGTAAGAGTAATGAATTACACATGCACACACATGCAAACGCACACTTTTGCATTTACACACTCACAGAAACTCCCCTCTACTTAAGACAGTCAATCCCAGCTTTTACCCCCATCAGGTCACCACTCTAGTCCCTCGCTCGCCTTCTTTTTCAAGTCCTTTTTCTCTCGTAACCCTTTCCGTCCTGGCACCTCCCTCCAGACACTCAAAAGCAAAGAGAAACGGCTGCTAAAGTAAACAGCCTACATGCAAACAAACACGCGCACACCTTGCGTGTTTGTGCTCACATGACCCTTACTAGTTCACAAACAGAGCTTCACGCTTGTGTAGCTGTACACACGTGCTATAGACAGACTAACGGTAAGAAAATATCACACAGGAATGTTCAGAAGGGCTGCGTAAAGTCATTTTTATTATCGATCAGAGATTAATCAATTTTATTGAAAATAAATCTGTTTTGGTAAATGATCAATAATTTTAGTCAATTTTCATAATTAATTCTCTGGTTGCAGCTTCTCAAANATGATCACTGATAACTGAATGTCTTCTGCTGCTTCTGTTGGACAGGTAATCAATTGATCAGGAAAGTAATTGGGAGATTAACAGATAATGATATTGGTATTAAAGATATTCAAGACATTAAAATACAATATGGAAAATGTTGACATTTGTGCTTGAAAAACGGCTAAATAAATCCAAACTCTAACATCAAATAATTGATTAGTATGCACAATTTTTGTATTCTCATACACATCTTAAAATTTTACTCCGTAAATTAAATATATTTCTAAAAAACATAAAAGGAAAAAGTGAAAAAAGTTTAACAGTTTGTTCCCGATGCTACCAAACTTTTGTTTCAGGAATTACACAAAGCTCACTTTTGTGTACACACAGAACCTGCCCTGTCTCTGTCTGTTGCACACACACACACACAC